TCGATCCCTGTGGCAGCAGCTGGAGGTGTGCACAATCACTGACAGCCACGGCCCTCAGACCGGGTCCTGTGTTTGGGAAGGAAAAGACAGAGGGTAATAGAGATAACGGTGTATCCAGGACAGAATAGCTGAAGTCTAAGTTCTAGTAACAAGCCAGCCGCCGAGGCTCGCTGTGACTGGCGTCCAAGTGATTTGAGTCAAAGTATGTCCGTATTTACCTTGAAGTTAATTGGAATGTTCAGATGGGTATAAATAGCCCAACATGAAGGCAGCATTATCCAGGCCGCACAACGTTAGACAAATAACAGCCACTAGGGCATAAGTGAAAGTATGACCTAGAAATGGAAACCCTGTTGCAGCAGACGCCGGGAGTAGGGTCGCCACATCTCATTTTCTATCTAATAAGATCTGCATGAGGTCAAAAAACCGGAGCACATTTTTCCTCTACATTTGATATCCTTTGACGTTCAGAAATTTTGTCTACCTAATAGGAGATGTCCGAAAGGTATAGCACCGAGCACAGCAACAATCTGGACAGATGTTTGCGCCTAACTCACTATTTTTAGTCCGGCCGCAGCAGCTGGATAGCTAATTGGCACTCCCGATCGCCTACGCTCTCAAATACTCGGATTCGAATCGTACTAAGGTGCTGTTCTTCGAATTGTTCTACGGCTCGATATTTGTCACTTTCCATTTTCAAGAATATTTGAAGATTCTGCGGAATAGCTTAAAAGAATATGGAGGGGGGGGGGGGAGGCGGGAATTAGCAGATGAAATGCAAGAAAAGATGTCAAAGCGCTTTAGTTGTCTGAAATTCTCGTAGATCAAGGAAAGGAGAAGATAAAAAAGAGCCAGATGGAGATGTGTGTATTCTTGGAAAGATCTCACGTAAAATGTTAAAGATAGGTGTAGTAACGGAGCGAACAGGCTTCTAGATGCTTTCAAACAACGACAATATTCGGTAAACGACAATTTCAAAGGAGGTAAAATAGCTGGGGATTGATGATCAGAAATCAATTTTCGAGGCGTGCTGTCTTATATGCAGTACCGAGGATCCCCATTCAAATTTTTTATGTGACTTATTGTGTATTATTCTTGGCGAAGCCTCCGAAGATGGGAGGCGATGTCTGACTTAGCATGTATCGTGACTTCTGGTGAATCACACTTAGCTTAGAGTCATATGGCACAAGCCACATTTTACGACTCATTCGACTAGCTGAAAATGCATTACATTTTGAGCCTTATAAACCAAATGGGTATGTAATGCTTTTATTGAACTATGTATCCTATGTGGTAAGCCTACTTAACGAGAAGGCAAATCCCCTTCTACCTGTGGAGTACTGAGGCATCCAAATCCACAGATTAACGAGAAGTAAAGTGTGTCTGTGGTAATCTGAAATGTTGCAAGACGTTATTTAACGACTGAAGGGGTTGACAAAGTTTGCCGTAGGGTGTGCGGACAGCACAGCTGCCGCAAGGCGATTTGCTCGATTTGCGCGGTTTGAATTTTGAGGAGCAAGAATGACATTTTCAATCGAGTTCCTCACTGGAAACAGTTGGTCCGGCATCAGAAATTGGATTCTCAAACGCATTGTTGCCTACTACCCTCAACCTTGCTGTCATCGTTGCCCTCATCGTACGACTAGGACACTTTTCTGAAATTGCTGGCAATCTGAGCGTAACCAACACAGCCTACAAATCCTTC